TATATATATAATGCTGTGTTTCCCTACCATTATCAGGTATTTATATGCAGAATGCTGGTGCCAGAAAGTCACACAGAGGTTTGTACAGATAAATAATTAAATWTTAGCAGGTTRTCAACAYTATTTCAATTCAAAGGGGGCATGAAAAAGAATATAAGTTCCCTGAGGGGGGCACGACAGAAAATAATTGAGAGCCACTGGGTTAGTTGAATGTTTCTGAGTGCTTTATAAGAATTATAAATCAGTTCTACAGTAATTATTAAAACCCCATTTTCTGGTCAGTTCATACTTTACATCTCACCATTTAAATAATCATCTTCCATAACGAAAACTGAGCAATCAACAACAACTAAATAAATCATTTGATGAGTGTTTTGGCATTTATTTTAGTTTTTGGCTGGTGTCGTGTGAACAGGTGATCCTGAGGAAGCTCAGAGGTAAAAAGCAGAGGAATGCAGCGAAGCAGTTTAGTGTGGCAGAAGTGACCGGGTCCTCGTGAGTCATGGCCTCGGTGCACCGCTGCTTTTAGCCTTATTCATCAGGAAGTGCCATAATGTGGGGGTGAAAGCTTTCAGGAGCCAGGAAGGGTGGAGAAAAAAAGAGTAGAGAAGACAGATGAGGCCAGAGGTAAGCTGAGGAACATAGAACAATGACCTGAGAACGAYGGAGGAAAAAGATAGAAGAAACAGACATGAAAGACAGAGCATCTTTAGGAAGAAATGGTGTCACGGAGATTCCAGTTATAATTGTGAAATTTAACATTTTCATCAAGAGAATCAGAATAAAAATTTTTTATAAGAATAAAAATCCAAGGATGCCATTAATGGAGGAGAGTAACAAACTCTAGATGGCTGCCACAGCTAATCTACCTTAAACAAGAAAATGTCAACTAGTCAGATTTACAGGTATTGAGTTAATATTTGGTGTAGTAGTAGCTGACAGTCATCCCAAACTTGTACTTTGAACACTAACAGACTGTAGAACATCGTTTTGTTAAAACGTTGATGGAGACAACTTTAAAAATTGTTTCTAAAAATGCTAAATCTTTGACAAAATGTAAACATTGCAGTACAGTGGCATCACCTTCAGACATTTTCATACTTCATTTTCTTTTGCAATAACAAATAATGCAGTTTCTCCACTTGCCCCATRCTTGCGAGGCAGTGGAAATCAAACTCACACTGTGTTTATGTAGCTTTACTGTTGTCTGTGATGGTTAAGTTGTAGACGAAATGTGTGTGAACACTCAGCTCTTAAACACAACGAGCTGCTTCTGAGAAATCTGTAGAAAGACACATCCTTCCTCATGTGTTTTTGCATCAGTTTTTCAAAGAAGCTTTTTTTGAATCATAGAGCTCCAAACAAACCATTTTATATTCCTGATTACGTAACGCGGGGAAGTGCTGAACTCTCCTCTGTCATGCAAATACACTCGAGACAGAAGATCCATTTAATCAAACCTCACTTCAGTCTCATTCTGCCTACCTACCTCCAACAGAACAAGTGTTTTTTTTAGATGACAGCAGATAAACAGGAAGTAGACAGGGTTTCTTTCGGTTTTTTCAAGAATCATATAAAAGGGCTTTAATTGCAAGACAGACTGTACACATTTCTCCCTCAGGGTCRGATGGTGCAATATGAAATATGACATGGGCTAAAACAAGGACACGATTAAAGAATATAACATTCAGTAAAACTAATGTTTCCAGTTGTACATCYGCCCAGCACCGTGGAGCTCTTACCCTGTGGGACTCTACAGAGAAAAAAGGTTTGGACCCTCTGCAGGAGATTGATTCCCAAAAGCAACCTGGAGTCAAGGTGAGTCTGACTTTATCTAGTTTGTATACCTCCCGGTGTCTCCTGTACAACTCAACCTCCTTCCCCACTCATAGAGACACAGACACAAGAGTTTGACCATTTTTCTCTCAGCAAAAAGGAACTTTAACATTCCAGCAAAAAGTTTTTAAATTTACCACTATTTTTGGAGACTTCTTTAAATGCTTTGTGTCTTTATTGCCTGTTTCACTAAGCTCTTAAACCCTCACAACGAACACATTTTACCCRCACCCAGCCTTTTTACCTGTTAAAAGGTGATTTATCTTTTTTTCTCCCACTTGGGTCTTTTAAATACACATTTTTTTCCTTCATTAGCTCATCTGCCTCCTTACTTCTTTGTTTCTGTGCCTCTGTTACTGAGTGGACACTCTGGATGTGTTGGATCTCTCAGGTGTGGTTTGAAGGAACTCTTCCAACATCCTCTGAAAAGTTAATTTCATCTCCTGGAGTCTTGCCTGTTGGCTCTGGAAGATGTTCCCACTGTTCAACAAGATTACTTTGTTTGTGTGTGTGTGTGTGTGTGTGTGTGTGTGTGTGTGTGTGTGTGTGTGTGTGTGTGTGTGTGT